CTAGACCCCCAACCTTTCAGGTTCCCAGTTCCCTCCTCCCTCAAAATCCAGGAGTTCAGGCTCTCAGCCTTCTCCTTCCTCAGACCCAGAAGTCTAGGCCCCTAGTTACTCCTCCTCACCCTCCTCCTCTCTCGGGGCCCCCAGCCTCCTCAGGACCAAGGAGCCAGGGCTCTCAAGTCTCCATCCTTCCTTAGGAGCCAGGGTCATGCCAGCGAACAGTCTAGGTTCCTGCAGCCAGAAACCCCACTGGCTTCTCTCTTCTCCAATCAAACACACTCTCAGCTACCTCCGGGTTCTGTTTTGCCAGAGGCTGGTCTGACACGGAGTCCAGCTGTGATAAGCTACTCATGACATCATTCACTATTATCCACTCATAGACACCCCGACTCCTACTAGCCTGGGCCACCCCCAGCTCGTTCCTAGTAGGCGGGGCCCCGAGCATCCTGCCAGTCTGCCAATTGGAGGGACCCGGGGAGGAGGGGGCGGGGGAATCCCTGTGGGCTCCTCGGAAACTGGAGCGGGTGGAGGGAGCAGGCTCCGTGGGTCCAGCGGATAAGCCCTGCACACATGCCCAGTGTTGGGATTCTGGACATAGCTCCGCCGGGTCTTGGTGAGGCTTGGTGTAGCATTTAGGTGGGCCAGCGCCCATTTTGCTTTGTTAGAGAAACTGACTCGGGATGCACAGTCTCAGATAGTCCTCCGTCCGTGCCATAAATCTGATTCTCCTAAGTCTGCACCTATCTGCCCTGCCCAACGGTCCATTCAGTCCTTCCAACCTTCATTGATTCTCTCACTGATATCCTCATGTAACCCCCACACCCACCCATTCACACTTTCACCCACCCATTACTCAAGCAGTGTGCCAGTCTTCATGCCGGGCAATGGTGGTGACCAAGATGAGTGAGGGCTGGGCCAGGTGGCAGAACAGGCCCACACATTGATGTGCAGGAATGTGCAGAGGTAAAGGGGTCTTTTGGGGTTTGGTGAGCCAGGAAATGGTTTCCAGAGGGGCCATTGCAGCTGGATCTCAGAGGAGCAGGAGATGCAGGCAAGGGTGCAGGACAGCCTGGGGGAGGGGTGCATTTCAGCATGAGCAAAGACAGGGAGGCATGCAAGAGTATTACCGCCTGGCCCAGCCAGTGGCTCATTGGTTCAGTGTAGACATATGAACCAGGAGGTCATGGTTGGATGCCGGGGTTGCAGGCTCAAATCCCAGTAGAGGGTGTACAGGAAGCAGTTGATCAATGATTCTCATCATTGATGTGTCTCTCTCCCTCTCCCTTCCTCTCTGAAATTAATAATATACTATAAATAGCATTACTGTCTGTGGGTGCCCAGGCAGAAGGCCAGTCAGATTGAAGAGGATGAAGAGGTGGACAGAGGCCATGCTGAGGAGCTGGACTTTGGGGGGCCAGGGGCAGGTTTTAGGATGCCATGGAAGGGTTTAGGTCATGGGAGGACCGAGTCAGAGCTAGAGCTGGATCTGGAGGAATAAGACTGGAAGCCAGTAGTCCAGAAGGTGGATTGTGGAGGGACTGAGGTGGGAGAGGATGGAGCCTGGATTAGGCCAGAGGCTGAAGGAAAAGGCAGGAGGCAGAACGAATAGGATATGAGGCCTGATGGGCTGGGGCGGAGGGGTTGTCCAGGACAACAACAGTCCTCTGGCCTGGTGGGCTGGGGACGAGGAAGTCATCCCTGAGATAGGGACAGGAAAGAGGAGCAGGTTGGTGGTGATGACTGGGCAGAGATGAACAAGGGGTCCTAGGAGCTGGACAAGAGGATCTGTGGCTCAGGCCAGTGGGTCTGGACCTGCAGGGAGAGTTCTGGGCTGTGGCTCCCTCCCCCATCGCAGAATCTGAATCAGAAATCACTTGGATGAATGAGGGTCTCTATGATGTGAGGATCCTCCTCTCCCCATCTCTTCAGGAACCTGCTTTCTTTTTTTTTTTTTTTTTTTTTTAAATATATTTTATTGATTTTTCACACAGAGAGGAAGAGAGAGGGATAGAGAGTTAGAAACATCAATGGGAGAGAATCATCGATCAGCTGCCTCCTGCACACCCCCTACTGGGGATGCACCCGCAACTGCAACTATGGTACATGCCCTTGACCGGAATCGAACCCGGGACCTTTCAGTCCCCAGGCCGACGCTCTATCCACTGAGCCAAACCGGTCCCGGCAGGAACCTGCTTTCTTGTTTCTGCATCTTCCCTCTCTCCCTCACTCCCTTTCCTGGCACCATTAAAACATATTCCATCACCTCTAAACACACACACACACACACACACACACACACACACACACACACACAATGCATCACTCTCCCTTGAATTAGCTTTCATCCCTTTTATAGCTAATGACTTGTACCCACCAGCTCAATATCTTACCTTCTCCTCCTTCCTCCACCCTCCACATCTGCTGCCCACCTCCCATGGCCCTGCAGCAGCTCTGTACAAGCTCATCAAAGACCCACCACTCACTGCTGAGGCCTGAGGGTAACGTCTGGGTTCTCATCTGACATAGACCACTCCCCACACCTAACATTCCCTTTGCTCTATATCCTCTCCTTTCCTGCTCAGCTTCTTCCATCTCCAGCTACTTAGAGCCTCCCAGACTTCTCCCTTCACTGCCTGCCCTTTACTGAGGTGTGGTCCTCAGGGCTCTGTCTGTCTGTCCCAGCTCTCTGCTCATCCCACCGGCCCTTCTTCCTAGAAAGGTTCCAGTCCCTCAGCTTCAGTCAGAAGTGAGCAGCCAGCCTACTCTCCTGCTGCCTCGATGTCCCTCTGGATAGCCTCATTAAGACTTTAAAAAAAGACATTTTCCACTTTTATTCCTTATCTTCTGTCTTTAACCCCCCCATCTTATTTATTTATTTATTTATTTATTTATTTATTTACTTATTTCTATTGATTTCAGAGAGAGAGGAAGAGATAGAAACATCAATGATGAGCCGAAACCGGTTTGGCTCAGTGGATAGAGCGTCGGCTTGCGGACTAAAAGGTCCCGGGTTCGATTCCGGTCAAGGGCATATACCTTGGTTATGGGCACACCCCCAGTAGGGGGTGTACAAGAAACAGCTGATCGATGATTTCCTTCATCAGTGTTTCTAACTCTCTCTCTCTCTCTTTCTCTCTGTGAAAAATCAATAAAATATATATTAAGAAAAAAAAAGAAACATCAATGATGAGAGAATCATTGATTGGCTGCCTCCTGCATGCCCCCCATCTGGGCATGTGCCCTGACTAGGAATTGAATCATGACCTCCTGGTTCATGGGTCGATGCTCAATCATTGAGCCACACTGGCTTGGCTCATTAAAACCTTTTTGATTTTTTGTGTGCAAAATAGCCCTCCTTCCTCCCCTCCCCCCACGTACACGCACACACACACTTTAGCCTCCTCCCAGTAGAGACAGCTAACTGTCCACCTACTGCTCTGGTCAGACCTGAGTTTCATTGTAGTCCCCTTATTCTCCTGTCACCTCTGTTCTACACCTAGGTCCTATTCCCCCAACCTAAGTTAAGGCTGGCTCTGGTATCTGTGCCACCCCTACTCCCACTCCCTACCCTCCATACCCTGCCCCTGCTCCGGTCTTGTCTTCCCTGGCTCCATCGTCCTTTGCCTCCAGGCCTCCATTCTGGCCCTTTTCAGTGCCACAAGCTGATCTGGCCCTCCCTGCGCAAAGCCCTCTCACTGCCCTCCAGTTATTTGTTCCTGTTGACCATGGCATGTTCCTCAGGCCACTCCCAGTTTGCACCAGACCTTCTGTCGGGCAGAGGCCTTGATCACTGTCCACTGGCTCTGACAACCTTGCATGTTTCATCTGCTTAGCAAACTTGTACTGCCCTAGCTGGTTTGGCTCAGTGGATAGAGCATTTGCCTGTGGACTGAAGGGTCTCAGGTTCGATTCTGGTCAAGAGCACATGCTTGTGGGCTCGATCCCCAGTAGGGGGCATGCAGGAGGCAGCTGATCAATGATTCTCATCATTGATATTTCTGTCTATCTCTCTCCCTTCCTCTCTAAAATCAATAAAAATGTATTAAAAACCAACCAACCAACAAACAAACGTGCTGATCCTTTAAGGCCAAGCTTGGATCACCTCCTCTGTGAAGCCCTCCCTGACTACTACAGGTGGAGTCCTTGATGGGGGCTGTGTCTGCATCCATCCTCCATTCTCCCTGAGTCCCTGAGTGCAGGCTGTGGATTGAAACCACCCCTGCTCCAAACCCAGGCCTACAAGAGGATGAGATCACAGTCTTGGCTGAGGGACTGAATGACTGTCACAGCTGGGCAGAGCTGGGGCCTCCAGAATTTTTGTTTCTGGTGTCTTGTTAGCTTTGTTCCACTTCTCTCTGAGGTGTGGGTTTCCTTCTGGTGGGTGCTGGGATTGGATTGAGAAAGGGAAATAGCTAAGAACCCAGAGTCCTCTGGCGCTCTGCCTGGATTAAGTCTGTGGGGAGGTGGATCTCTCTGCACCCAAGAATCCAGGCCCACAGGCCCCTCTTGCAGAATCCAGAAGTTGGTCCCTCAGCCTTCAACTCTCCAGTCCTAGCTTTCTCGTTCCCAGTTGCTGAGTCCTATGCTGCACCCTGATGGACAACCCCGCCCCCATTTGCAAGAGGCCAAACTAATTAAGTACTTTTATTTACAAAAACAAACCCACCCGCCGGTAAGGCCAGGCCCGCCCCAGCACCGGTGGCAGCGGCGGCAGGTGGCAGCGGCGGCGGCGGCGGCAGCAGCAGCAGCAGCAGCGGAAGGCAGTGGTGGTACAGGTCCAGCTGTGACTGGTTTGGGGCGCCCCTTCCTCCAGTCCAGGGTTTCACTCCTGGCCCTCCTTTACCATCCGACTGAAGGCACAGCCCACTCCCTCCCCGGCCCTACTCCTCCGGAGCGTGTACAGGATTCACTAAGAGGCCGCCAAGGCAGATGGAACAAGAGGCTTTAGTGCCGCCCTCCCCGCCCCGCCCCCGCTACCGCGCGGGGCCTGGCTGGTCCGGGGCTCAGACTGGCGCTGCAGGCACGGTGGTGCCTGGCGGAGTGAGGACCAGGCGGATCCGCTCCACACACAGCGCGGCTGCCTGCCGCGTCTCCCGGCACAGCGCCGCCAGGCTCAGGAAGCCGTGCGGCAGGTCCTCCACCACACGCAGGGTCACGGGCTTGCCCAGGCTGCGCAGCCGCCGCGCGAACATGACGGAGTCATCTAGCATGGGGTCCAGCGCACATGCCTGCGGGACAGTGGGGGTGAGGGACAGTGGGATTGAGGCACAGGGACGCGTGCATGAACTGAGCTAGGGTATGTGTGTGTGTGTGTGTAACACGGGGGCAAAGGGGTAGACAGAGGAAGGAGACATGCGAGGTCAGAGGAGGGAGAGGTGGAAGGATGGTGGGGAGTTGCAGAATGACCTTAACTGGGCTCCCTGGCCTCTGCCGGCTTCTCCTTCCCCCTGTTCCCTTCCCTGACTCTCCAAGCTCTGTGGCTGCCCTGCCCCATGGTGGCTAGCAAGATTGCAAAAGAAAACTGCAGCCCTGACTCCCTTCCATTCTTCCATTGCCAGGCGTTCCTTCCTGGGAGCATGGCTGTCCCTTGGGGCCAGGCTACTGACCTTTCCCCCCTCCTGGAGCTCTCTTCCACAGGTGCACCTGCGTCCCACCCTCCCTCCTCACTGCTCCCTGCCTGGCACTCACCACGATGTGTACAGGCGGTAGGGTCTGCAGCATGCTCTCAGGTGCCAGCAGTGGTGACATGAAGGGGTTCTTGGCGATGGGCGATGAGTAGATGGGCATCTGAGTGGGGCCTTGGCTGGAGCGCCTCGGGCGGAAACCCTTAGGGAAAGTGGCACAAATTCCCCGGCCTTTGTCCAAGGGCTCGGGGCTCAGCTTATCTTGGGCCTCGTCCTCTTCTGGTGTATCCTCAGGCCGGAGTAAGAAGTTGACGTCTGAGGGCTTGGAGGGACCAAGTGTCTCAGCCGACAGGGACAGCTCAGAGGTGCCTGAGGTCTCGGAGCTGCTCTTGAGATTCAGGTCATGCAGCGTCAGGTTCTTGAGGGAGTCCGTGCCCTTTGGGTCATCAGGCTGGTCTAGCGCTGCCTCCGACACACTGCGCCGCATAGACTCTGCGAGAGGAGCAGGGTCAGGGGCCGGCTGGGGCTGCAGATCGGCCTAGCTGTGTTGGCTGGGGGTGTGGCTGGCTTGCAGGGAAGGTGATAGGGAAGGCAGAGAACTCTGGAGGAGTTGCATCCTAGGGCTGTGGAGACCTGGAGTGTTCCCCCAGACACCCTCCTTGGAGGTGGGGGTGGGGGTGGGAACTCAGGTGCCCAGGCTGTAACTTTAAGGAGGAGACGGAAAGAGTTGTGTGGTCCTGGAGTCTTGTTCCTAGTGTGTGTGTGTGTGTGTGGTGACTGGGAAGGTTAAGAGCAAGTCACTTTACCTCTGGGAGTTTCCGTTTCCTCATTTGTACAAAGGGGATAAAAATAATCTTTACCTCATAGGAGGTGCTGAGGATTCAGTGGGATAAGATATTGAAGTCCTGCTGTTTTATTACCAAGCCTGGCACCCTGTTCCAGCAGCCTCCTGGCCCAGCATGAGGCCCAGTCATCTTTTGATGGCTGTTTGACGCAGAGTATGAATGGATCAGAGTGGAATAAGGCCTGCTTTATTATAACATGGCTTTAAAGGAGGATAAAGAGGGAGCTAAAAAGAGGCTCAGGGGCATATCAGATTCCCAGGGATCCCACACCTATAGCCACATAGATCTACTTCCAAAATGTCCTTTAGGTTCTTCAGTTTTATCCCTAGCCTGTGAGTGACCAGGCAACAAGTATCAACCCAAATGATACTACAGATGTGCCCCTGGCCCATATGGTGTGCCCACCTTGGCCTGAGGTCCCTTGATTTTATCAGACCCATGATGCTATTTATCTCTAAGGCCACGGCCTATATTTTTCAGTCTTTATAAGTCCATGGAGGTAAAATGCAAGATATAAAAATAACTGCATAAAAGCTCTGTGACCCAAGGGTCACTGGAACAGAACTACTGACTGGAATCATAGGGTCCAGCTTAGTCAGCGGTGCCGGCATCCTCTGAGAGCACCTACTGTGTTCCATTAGGTGTTTTGCTGGGTGTTTGGAACAAATAGATGCACGTAGTCCTTATGAGGCAGACACTTTTATTGTACTCATTTCACCAGGAGCAAAGCAAAGCTCACATCACCCAGCAAGTACCTGGTACAGTGGGGAGTTAGACTGGTGGTATGTCTGCAGGGGGCTCTAGGGGCTGTACCTGTTACCTTTATCCTATAAGAAAAACTCCAATGCTCAATGGTCCATGTGCCTAAATTTCAAATCCCTTTTGGTTTTGTATGTATTTTTTTGCATCCATCTGACTATCCTAAAAACCAAAACTTAATGTAAAATAAAACAACTAACTGGAATAATGTCCTGAGTATTCATATACTTTTGAATGTGCATTCCTATTACCCAGAAAATACTGTTGATTTGTGTGAGAGAGAAAATGAGTTGAGTTGGTTATGCTTTAAAATCCTTAAAATGTGAAAGGTGAGAAAACATGGATTCCTGGGTGGAAGTGACTTTGGGCTGCCCGGGTGCCCTGCACCCACCCATGGCTGGGAATCTCCTCCTCTTCCCGAGGGCCATCCAGTCTGCTGATCTCCCTGCCCTAGCCTCCCAGGTCAGTTTCTGCAGCGGGGATATTACCCCCACGTGCCTCTGTTAAAAGTCTGGAAAGAATCTAAGAGGGCTGGCCTTCACCCGAGGACCCTCCTGGGACAGACCTTCTGAGTTTACTGAGGTCCCTTTCTGGGGAAGGTTGTTTGGAAAGTTAAATCACATAGTTACTGGGACTGAGATGACCTGGGGGGCCAGAAACCCTTGAATTTCCAGGCTGTGGACTGTTGAGGAAAATCAAGGCTTCCTGGTAGGGAGCGGGACAGATAGGGGGCAGAACCAGGAAGGTGATCTCTGCTTCCTTGAGGGCCTCAGGGCACAGCCTCTTTCCACCCTCAGATCTTGTGGTGTGCCAGGCTGTCCCTCCTGGGCAAGCTGGATGGGTGTGTGGGGAGGGCTTCATTTACCTGCTATGGGCACTGAGTCTCGGGGGGACTTGCGCCCACTCAGCTCCAGGAAGGAGTTGAGCCACGAGGAAGCTCCCAGACGGAGGTCCCGGAAGAGCAGGGCTGTGTCCCGCTGAACCAGCCCCATCATGCCCAGTGCCTTCCGGTCTGAGGTGGAGTCCTCCTCTGTCTCCCCACCTGCGGAGTGTATGGGGGCAGGGTTGATCTCTTCTCTTTCTGGACCCAGTCTCAACCCCGGAGCTTTAGGAATCCATGGCTCCGGGAACACAGGAATAGCCGATGGCTTCAGCAGGAGCCTTCGATTCCTGTCCTCAGCCCCTCCTCAGACCCAGGAGACAGGGCTCTAGCCCCTGCCCTGTAGGCCCTGGGCATCCTGCCCCCCCCCCCCCCCCCCCAGGTCCCAGCGCTGGGCCTTACCAGCATAGGCACTGACACACTTGGAAAGCACGCTGAGGGGCAGCAGGGGGTCCATGAGGCTCAGAAGGCGGGAGGGAGAGGCGCTGGGCTGCAGCATTGTGGCTGGATAGGCTGCCATGATGCCGTCTGGCACCCGCACCCCGTAGGCTGCTGCCCGGAGGGAGACAGTGAAGCAGAGGTTCCCGCCTGCACTGTCCCCTGCGAGGCATACCCGCTCGGCCGTTGAGCCTGGTTTGGAGAGGGGCTTGGTCAAGCCTGGCAGGGAGGAATACCGCTCTGGTCCAGGAGCATTGGGCTCTCAGAGCGGGCGTGTGTGTGAGTGTGAGTGTGTGTGTGTGTGTGTGTGTGTGTGTGTGTGTGTGCACGCACAACCTTAAGGTCAGAGACTGGTAAACAGAGGCAGGGATTTGGACCTATTTGGAGGATAGTGACCAGAGAATCAGGCCAACTCAGGACATGGAGAGGCCTGGATAGATCAGGAGGCTGTGAGGAAGCTTGGGAGGCTGGAAGAAAAGTGGGGGTGAGAGAGGGGGAGAGGGAGGGAGGGGCATCTGAGGCCAGGAAATGGAAGCCAGGGTTCAGGCTGACAAGGGGCCATGGGCTCTGTGGCATGGGTACAGTCCCATCCTGCCCTGTGCCTCCCAAAATGTCGGAAGTGGAATATCAGAGGAGCTGGAAGAAGGGGCTGGAGACATGGGAAACAGGAAAGAAAAGGTTGGAGGAGATTGCCTCAGGGGAGCTGGGGGGATGGAGTATCAGGGCTGGAGTGGGGAGGAGGAAGTGGTTGATGGGAAGTTGGGTGAGCAGTGGGGCAATGGGGAGAGCGCCGAGGCAGAGATGGAGGAGTGGGCAGTGGGGGGTGGCCAGGTGGAAGGGGAGGCAGGGGGTGAAGACTGAGGCTTGAGAAACAAGGTGGCTCACTCCCCTGTGGTGTGGGCTGGGGCAGGAGCAGCGCGGGCTGGGCTCACCGAGCAGGGCGCAGTTCTTGATGGCCCAGCAGTAGGCATAGAAGCACTCCTCCAGCGCGCGGGGGAAGGGAGCCTCTGGGGCCAGGGAGTAGTCGATGGAGAGGATGGGGACGCCCAGCTCCTGGGCCCAGGTCTTGAGGTAGGGCTCGTGGGACTTGGAAGTCTGGGCCACAAAGCCACCACCGTGGAAATGCACAATCAGGTACTGAGAGCGGGGTGCCTGCTGTGGGCGTGGCCAAAGCTCCAGGGTCCGAGGACCCTCAGACTTCACCAGGCTGCTGAGCTCCTCACTGTCCTGTGGTGGGGGGGGGAGAGGAGGAGGAGGGTGAAGCTGGGGCAGCCTGCATAGGCCTCCACCCACCAAGGGATGTACTCAGAGAGACAGGAGGGTGCTCCTTGCTCTGTACCTGTTCCTGGCTGAGGCAGGAGCCCTACCTGTCCTTCACGAAGGTCATAGGAGATGAGCCTGACGAGGACTGGTGCAGGGCCCATGTGGGCCGAGGGGGGTGGGATGGTGACTGTAAGTTTGGGGTCAGTAGTCAGTGGCATTTCAAAGGCCTCCGGTGGCAGGCTGAGCAGGCGGCTTACCCTCACGGTGACCGATGCCATGTTTGCTAGAGACTGGTGGGAGGAAACAGAAAGGGCACTGGGATGGGCAGCTTGAACCTCCAGTTATTCCCTTATGTGCCATCCCTGGGCCTGGAGCCCTGCAGAGACCTGATGTGGCCTGGAATGAGCCTCTGGGGCTCTGTGTCCCCTTCTGGTAACAGGTTAGGTAGGGCCCTATCAGGCCCCATGCTCACCGATAGCACCTCGATCTCAGTGATATTCCAAAAGGCTTTCCAGAAGTGCACATCCAGGTTCTGAGTGATTCGCTCAAACTCAGCCCCACGGAGCTCTGGGTCGATAGCAAAGCGGCCACTGGTGAAGAGGGAGCTGGCGGTCACACCTGGGGGTCGGGAGGGTGTCAGGAGGCTCAGGCAGGTCAGGCTATAGGGGCAGGGACAGGGAGGGGGAAGGGAAGGCAGGGGTGGTACAGGCAGGGCCCGCCTGGCCAGGACTCACTGAGGCCGGATTCGTTGCGTTTGTAGTGCTCCCCAAAGGACACCAGCCCGATGGAGAGGGTCTGCAGGAATGGCCTGATGGCGGGCGTGAACTGTGGAGAGATGCTGCTTTGTCACTCACTGCCCAGGAGAGGGATTAGGGACAGGGAGGAGTGAGTGGCAGAATAGTCATTTAACAAACATTTACTGAGCTCCTACTGTGTGCAGGCACTGCTCTGGGCACATGCCATATGTCAACCAATGACTAATGCTTTGAAAGACAATAGGTGGAGGGGGCATAGAATGATGACTAGGGGTTAGGCTACTGAGATGGTCTCCAGGAGGGACGTGAGGAGGGACCCAAATGAAGTGAAGGAAGGCTGTTCCTTGCAGAGAGCACAGTAAGTGCAAAGGCTTTGAGGCGGGCCTTGCTCAGCGTGGATAAAGAAACCTGGGGCCATTGTGGCTGGAGCAGGTGACTGGGGGTGGGGAGGGCCAGGGTGAGAGGTCAAAGAAGCAAAGTGGGTTCACACAGGGCCTGAGAAATTTACATTTATTCCAGATGTGGGTAGAGCCACTGGAGAATTGTGAACTGGGAATAAGATGATGTAGATTTCCTGAAAGTCAGTGAGGTTAGAGATGAGGTGTGGACAGCAATGGGGATCAGTTACAGGTCAACAGGAAGACAGATGGGAGATGGTCAAAGCTAGGGCCAGAGATCTTGAGGCAGTAGGACAGCCAAAGGGGAGACAGTACCTGAGAGAGAAGCCAGGCAGTTTAGGGAACACAGAGGATGGGGAGACAAGATCAGAGGGAAAAAAACCACAGGAGGTGGGCACAGACCAGCAGGGCTCTTCTGTTCATTCAGCAAATACTGAGCGCTGGGCTGGAGCAGGGGCTGAGCACGACTCAGATAAGGAAGACCTCTGCTCTCTTGGGGCTGACATTTTACAGGGGGAGGCTGTTCTGCAACAGTTGGGCCCTCAGAGTAGCTGCCAGGCTGGGCCCTCCCCCTGGCTGAGGGCCCAGTAGGCCAGAGAGCACAGGGGTGCCTAGCCACTGTGGCTGGTTGCTGGCTCAACTGGCCCTAAGATCTCTCTCCCGTGACTTGAAGGTCATGGCCAGGACATAGGGAGGAGCTGGCTGGCCCAGCTGGGCTGATCAATATTTGTGGGTTCAGCTTAGGTGAGGGGGAGTTCCCAGGAACACTCAGGCTGGGTCACTGAAGATGGACTTTCCCGCAGGGAAATAGGGAATGGTGGGTGGGATAGAGGCTGAGAAACTGCTAATCTCAGCTATCACTAAGTCGGGGGAGGCTAGGAGAGGGTCTGAAAGGGGCTATAGATAGTCCTGGTGAGGTTCCCTGACGTGGCCGGGGGATTAGGGGATCTGGCACTGACCCCAGGAAGGGGCAATTGGGTCTCTGCTCTGAGCCTGCTGCCCCAAAGGTCCCCCGATTCTCTGAGTCCACAAACTACTTTTCCTATGAATTGGAAGGCCTCTTTGCTGCCTCCCTCTTAGTGCCGAGATGAGCTGTGTCTCCATGAGCGTGGTTTGGGGTGAGCAGAGGGGAGAAGGCCTGCAGTGGGCAGAAGTCAAAGTCCTAGTTCAGGGAGGAGAGGGGTTGAGACCAGGTTTTCCTGTCACCAACTTAGATCTGCTCCTTGGCCCTACCCTAAGTCTGAAAATCCTGATTCTACAGCTTCTTAGGTGAGTCCAAAAGCCTAGGCAGACCTGGGTACAGTTGAACCTCCGTAAAATGGGGCTCACACCCCTCCTCCTCCCTTTCAGGCGTCCAGTGATGCACTTACAAACAGGCCTTTGAAAACAATACTGACTATCCTCTTGGGGGTCTCAAATGATCTCAGGTAACATAAAAGAGTGAATGGATCTCCTGAGTACTAGGGCCATGGAGTACAGTGGGGAACCTGGTGCAAAAGCTATGCAAATGAAAGGTTTCTTGCTACATGGTGGATGCAGCTGGGGGCCACATGTTTGAGTTCCTGGTGTAGCTCTCTCTGGGCCCCAGTCAACTTCCCTTTCTGTTCCCGCAGTTTTCTGAATCCATGACCCTTGTGGTTATTCTACACTATTGGACCCGGTTAGGGCCACCAGATGCCTTCACCACGGGTCTAGGGTAGGGCAGGGGCTCACCTGAAAGCCCAGGCAGCGGCCGTAGAAACAGCCCTTGTGCAGGGTGACATACTCGCGCAGGAAGTCTGAGGTGAGTCCTTCGTCGCCTTCGAAGAAGAGCCCCCCTGGCCGGTTGGTGGCCAGCAGGCGCTGGGCGTAGTAGGTCAGAGCTCGGAGCTGGGTGAGGGCGGCCAGGTAGGCCTCGAGTTCAGCCAGGTTGTGGCTGGTGCGGAAGAAGATGCTGCGACGGTTGGAGGCCACGTAGCGGGATTTGTGCAGCAGGTGCGCCATGCAGCAGCGGGCGGTGTGCACCAGGCTGCGGTACCCGTTGGCCGGCGTCTCTGCATCCAGGTCAAAGAGATGTGCCACCCCCAGCAGGCGGCCCAGGGCTGGCTCCAGCCCCAGCGCCTGCTCCCGAACACCTGCAAAGACACTGGACAGCCGCCGCGCTGTTTCCCCAGGGCCCTGGCTGGAGAAGAAGGCCATGTTGTCCTCTGCCAGAGTCACCAGCGACTGTGTCATCGTGCGTAAGTCCATGTTGTGTATGAGCTGCAAGGCTGGGGGCAGTGGAGAGGCTCGTTAAGCAGGGTTGGATCACACCTTGCTCATCGGGGGCCTATCCCCTTCCTCCCTCAGATACACACATCAGAACCCAGCCTCCTCCTTTAGCCCAACCGTGGAGCCTAGGTACCTAGATCTTTTCCTCCTCAGGAGCCAGGAGTTCAAACCCGAGGCTTTGAGCTTCCCCAGGTGTCCCTGATCTCCCCTGTTGGTTCCCTCGCTCCAGTATCTCCTACATCCTAGAGCCTTCCTACCCCTATTTTCTTTCAGGGACCTAAGAGTTCATGCTTCTGTCTCCATTTACTGTCCTTGATCCAGGACTCCTTCTAGTTCTGTCTGGACTCCAGCTGGTCCCCTCTCCCAGGACCCAGGATTGTAGGCCCTCCTCCTACCTCCTTAGGCCCAAGCCATCACCCACAGGCTCTTTCCCTCCCACCAGTATTTGGGAGAGTTTATCTCTTAGCCCACCCATTCCCATTCACCTGGTGATGTCCCAGGATCCTGGTCCCAATTCTCTTCCTGAACCAAGGAGTTCATCATTCTAGCCTTACTTAAAACTGGAGTCACTCTTGCCCTTTCCTGGCCCCTCAAGTCTGGCTGTGGAACCTCCCCTCCTCCCAAACTCCAGCTCCCTTCCTGTTCCTCTGTGAAATCCCAAAACTCCATCTCACTCCTCTCCCAGCTGGACACTCTGGCCTTTGGGCCTGTCCACTCCGCTTAGATTGCATGGGCCAGCTCTGCTCTCTGCCTGGAATAACAGTACTCACACTCATTGCTACCACTGACCTTGAGTTCACTCTGTGCCAGATCCTGTGTTAAGAGCATTGTGTATGTTTTTGTTCATTTGTCTTTGTTAACTGAGACACAGACAGCCTCAGTTTACGTTTCAGCTATTAGTGTTAGCATCCCATTATACAGGAGAGGAAACGAGGCTTAGAGGTGTTAAGGAGCTGAAGGTTGCATTAAAAATGATAGAGCCCCAGCTGGTTTGGCTCAATGGATAGAGCGTTCGCCTACGGACTGAAGGGTCCCGGGTTCGATTACAGTCAAGAGCATATGTCTGGGTTGTGGGCTTAATTCCCAGTAGGGGGCGTGCAGGAGGCAGCCAATCAATGATTCTCTCTCATCATTGATGTTCCTCTCTGAAATCAATCAAAATATATTTTAAAAAATGGTAGATCCGCCAAAACCGGTTTGGCTCGGAAGAGAGTTGGTCTGCAGACTGAAAGGTCGCAGGTTTGATTCCTGTCAAGGGCATGTACCTTGGTTGTGGGCACATCCCCCTTTGGGGGTGTGCAGGAGGCAGCTGATCAATGTTTCTCTCTCATCGATGTTTCTAGCTCTCTATCCTTCTCCCTTCCTTTCTGTAAAAAATCAATAAAATATTAAAACAAACAAACAAACAAACAAAAAAATATAAAATGTCTGCTTGGCTTGAAAAAAAAAAAAAAAAAAAGGTAGATCCCTGGCTGGTTTTGTTTAGTGGTTTGAGTGTTGGCTTGTAGAGTGAGGGTCCAGGGTTCAATTCTCAGTCAAGGGCACTCAGAGGACCATAAGAACTGCTTCACACAGGCAGTTTGAAAATAAAGTTCCAGAGAAACAAAAGCTATTTCAGGAGGATAATGGAATTCCAGTGCATCTAAAGGGTGGGGTAGCTGATGCCTTCCTGTATAGAACTACCATGAGTCTTACAGTTGGTAGAACAACTTATGCCGTGTATCAGCTGGCTAAGGCTTCACTTCCCAAGAAGCAGGGTTGATTTTAGTTACCCTCCCAGCAATCAGTTGGTTCAATTTCATTCAGTAAGCTGATAAATAACTGGGTTTTTCTTTAGGGATTATTATTTATTGACTTGTACTAACTGCAACCAATAAAGCAGTATTTACCATGAAGGAAAAAAAAAAGGTAAAGCACCTTGGCCGGGTAGCTCCAGTTGGTTAGAGCATTATCCCGATATGCCAAGATTGTAGGTTCGATTCCCTGGTCAAGCCACATACAAGAAGCAACCAATGAATGAATAAATAAGTGGAGCAACAAATCGAATTTCTATCTCTCCCTTCCTTTCTATCTAAAAAACAAACAAAACCCAAACAACCAAACAAAAAACAGACATACATAAAAGCGGTGAGCGGAACTAAAACACAGATCCAGATCCATGCCTCCCTCCCGGTGCTCTGGGGGCTGGGCTTCTAGCTCTGGCCCTCAGAAACTGGACTAGGCCTGGCTCCTCACACTTGAGGGTCCTCCTTGATGGGGATGCCCTCGGCTCCAGAGACTCTTCCCTTCTGCTGCCCACCCAGCACCTTGCCTCGCTCCTGGGTTGATGGCCCCCTGCTCCCAGAAGGTGTCTGCTCTCCCTTCCAGGCCCTCGGGTTTGCCAGGGGCCATTCCAGTCTCTCAGGGCCATTCTGTTGCTCAGCTGGCTGTGCACTCACCCCTCTAGGCCTCTTCAGAGCTTCTCCGAGAGCAGGACTGCTGGACTGTGGGACTGCTGCTGGTGCCAGTAGCAGCCTGGGGCGATAAACCCGGGGAGGGGCCCAGCCTGCCCAGGGTGTGGCCACCGATCCACCTCCCAACCCACAGGGGACAGTGAGAACCACGTGCTGTAAACAGAGCATGGAGCCCAACTCCCTGCCCCCCTGTCAGCTCCCAGCTCCAGTTCAACTCTGCTTTAGAACCTCCAGGAGTACCCAGCCCCCCTCCTCCCTCAGACCCAGGAGTCCAGGCCCCTAGCTTTCTCCTCCCTCAGACCAGGAATCCAGGCCCCAGTCCCCTTTGGACCCAGTTGTCTTAGACCTCGTCCTGAACAAACTGTCCCCTCTCACCCAGCCGGGCTGCCCTCCCTCTCTCCGGGGTGGAATCAGGGAGCAAAGGCCCCATGATCTCAGCTCCTGCCACTCCCATCCCCCCAGGCTGGCCCTGGCAGAGCCAGCCCCAGCTGCTGGGGAAAGAGAGGGTAGCCAGCCCTGCCTGACCCTCCTGGGAGGACAAAAGCAGATTATAGGTATTTCCAAGCCCAGCTAGGGGCTGAGCCACAGGTCCTATTGTGTGGCGTTCTCACACTGGCATCCTGTACCTGCCACTTAGCCACTTAGCAGCACATCCTGCTGTGCCCGTTCTGTCTGCCTCATGTGGGGAAAGCAAGGCTGAGAGGCACAAGCTTCTTGCCTGGCCAGCTCTTTCTTGCCCTTCAGTCCTTAGCTTGTCATCTCCTTGAAGAAGCATTCCCTAACTGCTCATCTCTAAAGGAGCTATGCCACCCAGCACTACTTTCTGCCAACATACTTAAATTGTTCTTCCTAGAACTTTACACATTTGTAATTATACATTTGTTTGTTTACATGTGTATTATTTGTCTATCCCCAGGGGCAGAATCAGGATTTAGAGCGGTGAAGCTTATAAGAACTATGAAGCTTACATGTGTGGAAGAGGGGGTGTTTAGGAAAAGGAATATAAAATCACAAATACAAAATTAGGTACAGGATCTTGGAGGGGAATACGCAAATGAGAGGCCCTGAAGTCTCAGTCTCACTTGCTTGGCTGGAGGTGAATCCTCTCTCTCCCCCTTAAATACCCATCCCCATGAGGGCAGGCCCATCATGGGGCCTAGCACATAGGAGGCGCCCAACAAATATCTGAAGAAGGAAGAAAGCCCAGTGGAAAGGAGAAGGGGATGAATGGGAGCTTGGGAGTTGACCACCCCTCCCCAGGGCAGACAAGATGGACAGACAGAGGCCTCTGGAGGCAACTCGAAGCTTGGTGGTTATGTCAAGGGAACACTGGCCCAAACTACTCACCAGGTGGTCCTGGATGAGCCTGCTTTTCTCATCTGGAAATTGCACTTGGCCATTCTGCCTGCCGTCTGGGCAGCCTGTTCTACAGCTGTCTGTCTGGTGGTTCTCACATGGCCTCACCAAGGTATGTACTGGGTCATTTTCCTCTGTGGTGCCAAATGCCAGCATACTAATTAATTGACTATTTATGTGTTTGCTTTTTGTCTCTCTCATCAGTTTATAAGCTCCCTGATAGCAGGGACTTTGTTTTATTGCTATACCAAACCCCTTGCACAGTGCCTGGAGCGTGGCCAGCGTGTGGTATTTATTGCCTAACAGGCTGTGGTTTCCCACTTTATAAACCCACTGTTATTTACTTCCCTCCATGTGCTAAGGGCTCTTTATTGAAGATGAGGGCAGAGGAGACCTGGACAGAACAGGGACTTGCACAAAGTAGTGGCGGACAGGCTGGATCCCAGGCCTTCATGATTCTAGGGCTCTGCCCTTCGCCCTGCTCTAGGCAGCTCCCTGTGGGCTAGGCTGGATGTAGCTGGCAGGAAGGGATGTTGAGATTGCCAGAAACTCGCCAAGAATCCCAGGCATAGGGCACTGGGGCAGGGGCAGGCCCACCAGGGCCATGGGCGAGGACTGGGACAGAGGTAGGGCTGAAGGGTCCTGTTGTCTGGGCACTAGCCCTTTGCCCTAGAGAGCCACGGGGCAGCTGAATCAGGCCTGGATTTTGGCCTCTGGGGACTGAGCAGGGCAATGGGGGAAAGAAGTGCGGGGAGGATGGAGGAAGGGCGAGGTCTGGGGCCTGGGAAGAATAAGGGTTTCTGCATGGGGTATGCCTGGGTACAAGTGAAGAAGGGGGGGCCAGTGAGTGTAGCCAGTTTCCCCGAGTGTTCCCCTCAGAGCAAACACCTCAGAGCAAACAGTATTCTAAGGACTGACTGTAGTGAGCCAGGCACTGATCTATGTGTTTTTATGAAGTAACTCATTTTGTCCTCTCCAGGATGCATGAGGAAGGACTACTATCACCCCTTTTGGCAGATGAGAAACCAGACCTGGAGAGGTGGCATGCTGCCCAAGGTCACAGAACCAGCAAGGATGGTGGATCTGAGTGTTGTTCCTTCTCTCTGTCATGTTTCAGCTGGGTGCTTTCTGGGTGGTCGGGTGTGAGTGTGTCTGAGGTTCACATGCATGTATGTACATACATAGGTTAGGGTCATGGCTATTATTTGTCCTGGCCTTTGGTTATGTTGACATTTTTTTCTCAATCTGTGCATTTTTGTTTCTTGGAGTACCTGAAGGCATGTTTTTATGCATGTGTCACAGTCTGTATGTGTTCTTCTCAGCCCGTGAGAGAGACTGTGTGGGCATGCGTATGTATGCATATAGATATCCTATATAATAAAAGCATAATATACAAATTGACCGAATGGCAGAACCAGTCGCTATGACACACAATGACCACTAGGGGGCAGACTCTCAATGCAGGAGCTGCCCCCTGGTGGTCAGTGCGCTCCCACGGGAGGAGTGGCGCTCAGCCAGAAGCGGGGCTCACGACTGATGAACACAGCGGTAGTGGTGGGAACCTCTCCTGCCTCCACTGCAGGTGGACAGTAGAAGCAAGGGGCCCCAGATTGTGAGAGCCCTTGACTGTGAGAGGGATGTCTGACTGCCTAAGCCAGCAGGTGGACATCCCCTGAAGGGTCCCAGACTATGAGAGGGTGCAGGCCAGGCTGAAGGACCCCTCCCCCCGCCCAGTGCACAAATCTTATGCATCAGGCCTATAGTATATAGATATTTGTGCATATCCTAGTATGTGTGTATGTATGAGTATGTATGGCGAAAGCATCACTCCCCATTTGCTCAAGCCAGAACCCAGGGAACCATCCTGGCCATTTCCTATCCCCATCTAATCCATCATGAAGTCCTGTCCACTCTGCCCCCTAGAACCCTCTGGAACCTGATCCTTCTCCCACCCCGACTGCTCCCATATCTGGATAACTGTAACTCATTACAGTCTCTGATTTTGCCCCTTCCAGTCTTTGCTCCACATAGCAGCCAGGCTCTTTCTAAAATACGCTCCCAACTTTCAAAAGCCCAACCCTTCCTCTCAGGAAAAAGCTCCACATCCTGGACATGGTCTCCTAAAGTAGAAACCATCTGGGCCCCGTGCCTGCCCTGCCTTTCTTCCTCCCCTCCCTTGATGAGCTCCCTCTGTGCTGTAATGTGCTGCTTTCTTGGGTCTCAGGGTTTCTGGCCATTCTGTCCCCTCTGTCCTCCCTGCCCCCTTGCCCAAGCAGCCATCCTTGGGTCCAATGTCACCTTCTTGGGAAGCCTCTCTCTTATATTATCTCAGGAATTTCCCTCTTGTATACATCAGTTTATATCTGGCTTGTGAGATTATTTGATTAATGTCTGCATCTACAGCTCCAGTGTGTCTGCCTTACCTCCAAGAGCCCAGGCCTGGCCTAAATAAGTGTTCAGTGAATGTCTGATGAACGAATTTGTGTGAATTATGGTTGGGATGCACAGCAATTTTGAGCTAACACTAATTTTAACTAATTTTGAGTGAATCATTCCCCACTCCCTGCCCTCAGGAGGCTGGGGGTAGCTATTTCTCTGCCCTCACTGACCAGATAAGAAAACCCAGGTGACCTTGCTCCCTCAGAGTCTCAGTGTCACCATTTGGGAAATAAGGTGCTCATAATGACACTATTGTCATCAGGTTACTGGCAAGATCAAATTGATGACTAGAACTGCACCAGCCAGCCTGGATGCCCTTGGGGCAGGGGTGGGGAATGATTCACCCAACTGAGACCTGGCACCAGGGCAGGACCTCAGGAAATGAGAGGCAAATCTCAGAGCTTGGGGGAATGAACCTTTGTGAGTAGGCGGGCCCATGGATTTGTGAGGACTGGCTCAGCCCTGTGCAGGAAGTCCTGCCCAAGAGGATTCTGACTCTCCATGACGATCCCAATGCAACACGATGATTGTTGTCCCAGGGTTACACTTCACACATTCCTTTACTTATTAATTCAGTAAGTATTTAAGTGTTTATGTGCCTGGCATAGCAGGCTCTGGACATGCAAGGTAAACAAGGCAGACACAACTCCACTCTTAGGGAGCTTGCTATCTAATGGGGGGGGGGGGGAGAAGAGGGAGAAACTTCGTTCATTCAAACCTCACAATAGCCCTACAAGTCAGGCACGCTTATTATATCCAAAAAGTTGAGGCAGGGAAGGAAGGAGCCCATTGCCCAGTGTACCACAGGATAGAGCCTGAAGAACAGTGCCCACATTTAACCATGGTCTGAACTGACTGCCTCTGGGCACTCTGCCCTGCTTGTGATCCTGTTTTGCTATGATAGTCAATGCCCTCGGGCAATAGTCTGACCTGTCGGAGCCTGCATGTGCCTCTGGAGCCAATTCCAGTTCTATCCTTGACAGGGATGTACAATGAAGAGTTTGGGGTCTCTGGGGCCCAGGGACTAAGCCAGTTTCTTGTCTACACAGAAACTTTCCACAATCATTTGGATTGACAAATATTCAAAACTGAGCAAGGAATTTTGGCCAGCCCCTGCCCATCTTCGTTGGACTGTCTTTCAGTTAATAATGTGGCACCCTAGGAACCCAGGTGACAGACCTCCCTTCTCCTGAGGGAGAGTGTGGCAGTCAGAAACCAACCCAGGAACCCCTAGTCCTAGAAGGAGTGGGGATCAGGAAGTTAGGCCCCAGGGAAGGGGGGCTGCAGCAAGCAGGTGAACTGACAGGAAATGGATGGAATGAATGAAGGCTGGGAGTACACGTCTGGCATCTCCCTCTCTGGGGCACCTTTCCCACTACCTTTCTCTGACTCACTCCCAAACTTCCTCTTTGGCAACAGCTTATAAACTTCTTCCTTACTAGCCTCTCAAGAGTGCCTGAGACCTGAAAATCTCAGGCGCTCCTACCACTTCCCAGGTGGGAAACACTGAGGGCAGGAGTTGCTCACAGTCACACAGCTAGTGCGGAGCCGGAGCGGGAACTCGGGCCCAGAAGACTCGCATTCGGGACTCTCCTGCCAAGACAGTGGTGGAGCGTCCCGTAGTCTCTGCGTTGGGGGTATAGTCCGCTCCCAGCATCTCCGCACTCCCCCGCAGGGCGGCAATGGGCCAGTCCACGGACTCCCCTACTTCTCGAGGCGGTGGGTCAGTCCACTCAGTCCCTAGTTCCCCGCAGGATGTCCAAGGTTCCTTCCGGGCTGTGGCCGGCCCCCACGTGCTCACCTTTGGCCTTGACTTTTCGCCATTCCCGGCGGCTCTGCCTCTTGGATCCCTCTTTCTCATTCTTCGAGGCCGGCGCCCAAGGGGCCCCGGCGGGCCCCGCTTCCCCCGCTGACTCCATCAATTCTCCTCAGTTCCCCGCGGGGACCAATTCCAAGCCCCACGCCCCACTCCGAGGGCCAATCCCTATCACACAACCCCGCCAGGCCCCCATACCACCCAATCCCGGGCTTGCTCCGCCCTGGGTCCCGCCCCCTGCACTATCCGGGCCTCACCCCACCGCCGGGCCCCGCCCCCAGCGGCCAGGACCTAAGGACTGGCCCCGCCCCCTCGTACGCTTCAAGGATCCGCGACCCACAAAAATGCAGCCCTGGAGGCGGCGCAGCGCGCCCTTCTTCAGTCAGGACTAGCTAGCGGGGAGTCTCACGGTGGTCTCCCTAGCACGGGAGCCTCGATCTTATCACACGTTGGTTCTCAGCCTTGCCTTCCCACTCACCTTCCCATGTGGGGATCCCTTAGAACGCCACCCAGCCCGCCCGCTCGCGGGGACAGCGAGGCGCCGCGGAGCCTACCCTTGAGGGCTGGGGGCGGGCCAGGTCCTCGGGCAACTCAAAGTCGGGGCGGGACGCCAGCGCTGGAGGCGGACTCTGCCTGCGAGCCATTGGAGGAGGAAGTCCCTCCTTCTCCCCGCCCCCTGCCTCCTAGGTCTCTTGTGGCTCCATCTCTCCAGGTTCCTTTCTCTACCTTCTCTTCTCCGTCAGGAATGAGAGGGAGAGGCAAGGAGAGGACTAGGCGCCTGCGTAGTAGCCCCAAGACGCCCCGGGGGCAGGGAGGGGCGGCGGCTGGAGAGGCTTGCGCCTGGAAAAAGGCGGGAAACAGTGGCGGCTCGAGGCTCCTGCATGCGCACACAATCAACGGCCCTTGGGTGCTCAGGAGAGCCGCCTGGTCGCTCCGGCGGCTTGGGGGCCTCAGAGACACAACTCTTCACCCTCAGCACCGGAAAGACGCCTGGAACCCTCTCTCCCTCTCTTTCCATCCCACCCCCTCCTTCCCACCCTCCCAAGGCCTACAACCAGCCTTGGTAATGACACCAATTACCCTCTCATCTCTGAGAGGGACAAGCCAGCCCTCCCCCCATCCCCCTCCCCCACGCGCGTGTCTGTGTGTGTGTGTGTGTGTGTGTGTGTGTGTGTGTGTGTTTAGGCCTGTGGGCTGGGCCACCAGTGCCCGTGCCGCCCTCAGCTTCTGGAGTGGGACTGCAAGTTTCCCTGCTCTGGCTACTTCAATAAGCAACCCCTCATTCCAGGGAGAAAACCTGATGCCTGCTTCTGCCTGGCAGGGCTTTGGAGCCTAGAGAATGGGAAGGGGAGATACACCCTCCCCCCTCCTCGCACTGCTTCAGAGGAGGGGAGGGCAGGCAGCCATCACTCTCCCCTCCACTACCCCCAATTCTGCCTTCCTCTTGTCCCAACCTTGTCTGGGACTTGGCAGACCCCAGCTCCTCTCCTAGGCTCTCCCTTCCAGAATACAACCCATAAGGCCTTCAGGCCTGGCTGGACTGGGACTTCTCTGGGGGGCCAGCCTGGGGAGGAGAGCAAGGGTCCTGCTGCGGAGGGAAGACCCGACAGCTCAAGGATGGCTAAGGCACAGATGGGGCCTCGTCGGGATGGAAACTCCCTGAGGGTAAGGCCTGTGTCTCTGGTGCACACTCCAGTGTCTGCCCCCAGATTGTGCTTCAGTGGGTTTGGGGAGGGATGGATGAATACTGGCAGGCTTCGTAGTTGTTCTGGCCCTTAGCTCAGGACCTTTTCACACTTTGATTTGCCTCAAATCCTTGGAAGAAAGGCAGCCTCCTTGGCTTTGAATCCTGGCCTGACCACTTCCTACTGCCACCCCCTCGTGTCAGATCCTTTACATCTCAAGGCCTCGGCTTCCTCATCTATCAAATGGGGCTGTTGATCTTTGTTTCACAGAACATTTGAGGGATCACCTGAGCTGACCTGAGATAGGCAGTTCCCAGTAGTTCTTTTCTATTAAAAAAATGTTTTAAATTATAGGGTAAAGGAAGGGTGTGTGGAGTTTGGGAGTGAGGAAGCTAAAGGTGACATGCTGGGGGAAGGGACGAGGGAAGGGAAAGGCACTGGCTTGCTCCCGGGATAGAGGGTCCCAGTACTTCTTGACTGAATGAATAACCATCCCTGGGAGACTCTCATCCAAGTGCAACTCACCCGAGTCCCAGGAGTGTCTGTGATTCTGGTTCCTGGTTTGTGTGCCCTGGGCTGATGTCCCACCACTTCCTGACATCTCTTCATAACCAGGCTTTTCCTTGAGGTCCAACTTCATCCCCTGGCTCATTGTTCCATCCTTCATGGCTGGTGAATCGGTCTCAAAAAATGGATACCCCGATTCTGATTCTGAGTCAAAATCTGTGATCCACTCAAGAAATGTCTTCCACTCTGAGGCCGGCCTCTGTATGGATAGTTCATGAAGTTTTGATAGAAATCCCCACTCGGTCAAAGATCCCTGCTGGGATTTGTCTGGGGCCGTTTGCTGGCCTGTATGGTCTGACTGCCCTGCTTTTTCTTGGGACATAGATTCAGTTTGGGAAGGAGGTGTTGATCCAGCTTCTTGTTGTGCTAGAGGTGGCTCTGGTGGGCCAGGTGCTGGCTGAGCCACATATTCCTCTTCCAATTCTGGCTCCTGTTGATATGAAGATTCTTTTTCTGTCCCAGGTCCTGGCTGTGAGGCAGCTCCCTCTGGAGTGAAGGGCACCTTTTGGGTGGGAGGTGATTGGTGTGGTGCAGGTTCCTGTGGGGCAAGGTTTTCTTGCTCTAAAGCAGATTTTTGTTGGGCTCTAGTTTCTTGCTGGGATTCAGCTTCATGTTGGGCAGGGGACTCCTGCTGAGTGAGGGGTCTTTGCTGGGAAGCAGGCTCCTGCTGGGTATTGGATCCCTGCTGAGTCTTAGATGCTGGCTGTGCTGTGGGTGTCTTTTCTGGGTCAGGCTCTGGCTGGGTGATAGGTATCTGGTGTGGTTCAGGTTCCCAGTCAGGTTTAGATACTGACTTAGGACCTGGATCCACTGTTGTTAATTCCATCATGGGAGATGTGGCTCTCCCAGGCTTCTTTCTTCTGGCCCCCACCAGGCCTCCTTTGTCACAGATGCCTCATTGATTCCTCATGATGACACCTCTCTTTGGGTTCCACTCCTTTATCCTGGCATTCCTGGTCTTTTTTAGGCAGTTGGCAAGTGGGCTGGCCACCGCTGGCCCCAACTCCTGTGGATTAGAAACTGGAGGAAGTTGGGTGCCCACTACTTTTTTACCAGAGGGGAGGGGCTTGCCCTCTTGTGTCATAAATAGAGCCCCACCCTACTCACCACTCAGTTAAAATGCTTTTGTTTTTGTTTTCTCATAAGGCAGCATCCAACTTAGTTCTCTGGGATGACAGAAGTCAGATCCTGGATGAGTGTTCCTTTTTTCCCATCACTTTCTGATGTTTGAGAAACAGATCAGAGGGGGAAGCTGTCTCTATACTGTAGTAATAATCTTTTCTGCTTTATTTATACTTTCAAGTAGTTGCCAGTTTAATTTCCTTATATTATTAATATCATTCTAATTTCACTCCCATGTTAAAAAAATGAATGACTTCCTCTTATTTGTACAGCTTGAAACCCTTTTCAATGGTATTTGAGATCTCCCAAACTATCTCTCTAGCTCTGAATCTATGGTTCTGCATATATGTCTTCTGTACTAGTTTGGAAACTCACAGAGTACAGTGACCCTTGATGATGATGATGATGATAACAACCACAAATCCAAAAGGGGTTCTATATACTAGGAAATTACCTAGTATATAGTTTTTTAGACCTATATTATCTTTAACTAGAGGCCTGGTGCACAAAATTCATGCATGGGGGGAGGTGGAGAAGTCCCTCAGCCTTGCCTGCACCCTCTTGAAATCCAGGACTGCTGGCTCCTAACTGCTCACCTGCCTGGCTGCCTGATTGCCCCTAACCACCTCTGCCTCAGCCCGGCAGCTTTATCTGGAAGGATATCTGGAATGACATCCGGGAGGGTTAAGCTATCTGGTCTAATTAGCATATTATAATTTTATTATTATAGACTAGAGGCCCAGTGCATTCATGCACTGGAGGAATGGTCCCTCAGCCTGACCTGTCCCCTCTCACAGTCTGAGAGCCCTCAGGGGCAGGAGGCAACCCAACAATTAGGGGAAGGCAATGCCCCCATCACACCTCTGCTGCTGTCACTGCTGGCGGCGTAAACCTCAGCTGGCCCTGGTTACTTGAGCCTTGGGTGGCCTTGGGTGGCTGGGTAGCTGCCATCTGAGGCTTTCCTGTGCCTTGGTCCAGCCCTGGGTGGCTGGGCAGCCAATATCCAAGGCTTGCCTGTGCCTTGGGCATCGGCTGGGTAGCCACCATCTGAGGCTTGCCTATGCCTTGGGCTGACCCTGGGTGCCTGGGAGGGCTGAGGGGACAGGGGAATCCGGAGGCAAGTGGTATGCGCCTGCCACTGTGGCAGGGCTGAGGGGACTGGTGTCGCCATCTTGTGGCTGTGGGTGCTGCCATCTTTGAGGGTGTGACAGTCAATTAGCACATTCCCTCCTTATTGGCTGTGGGCGCCACTATCTTTGTGAGGGTGTGATTGTCAATTTGCATATTCCCTCTTTATTAGATAGGAAAGACCATGTTTGATTCATTGCTATACTTGTTTTCTTTGTCCTACTTAGCTCTTACCTCAGAAAGATTTGTTGAAAGAGTAAAAGAATGAAAAATTTGACAGGAAAGATGAGAGAGAAAGAGAGAGAGAGAGAGAGAGAGAGAGAGAGAGAGAGAGAGAGAGAGAGAGAGAGAGAGAGAGAGGGGAAAAAATCTGTTTGGTTGGAAGAAGTATGTGTAGATGTAGAATCTGGGTTCAGTTTATAGTGAACAGGGTAAAGTGGGTCATTTAGATTAAATGTGAGTTGCTAGACCTCTTTTGCAAGAAATGATTTTGACCTATTACACTCTTTTCAAAGTATATTTTTATTGATTTCAGAGAGGAAGGGAGAGGGAGAGAGAGAAACATCAATGATGACAGAGAATCATTGATTGGCTGCCTCCTGCATGCCCTCCACTGGGGATCTAGCCTGGAACCTGGGCATGTGCCTTGACCCGGATCAAACCATGACCTCCTGGTTCATACATAGGTTGACCCTCAACCACTGAGCCACATCGGCTGGGCTCTAAACATAAAAAAAATATTTCTTGGCTTCTGTTTGCTATTTTCCTGGTTGTATTTAAGGACAGATGGAACCAGCTAGGGAGCCAGGGTCTTCTGATTTCTTTCAGGTAATTAAGTTTATTTTATTTTATTTTATTTTATTTTTTTTTTTTTTTAAATATATTTTATTGATATTTTACAGAGAGGAAGGGAGAAAGATAGAGAGCTAGAAATGTCGATGTGAGAGAAACATCGACCAGCTGCCTCCTGCACACCCCCCACTGGGGATGTGCCCGCAACCAATGTACATGCCCTTGACCGGAATCGAACCTGGGACCTTTCAGTCCGCAGACCGACGCTCTACCACTGAGCCAAACCGGTTTCGGCTCAGGTAATTAAGTTTAAATGAAGCCTGAGTTATGAGAGGGTACAGGAAAACACAAGAGAAAGCACAAAAGGGAGCAATAATCAAAATAATCTTGGGAAAAATGCTTTTTGAGAACCCTGTTATGATTTAGGGAGTGGGGACAATGAGAGGGAATTGAGGTGGGAGAAGAGCATTCTCTTTTGACTAAGAATGTTTCATTGGGAGAGAGGGCTCTCAGAGCTCCTATAGAGGCAGAGTTAAGCTTGCTAGCTGACAGCGTTTGATAAATTGCTGGCAGGCTCTGTAGTGCTTGTTTGGCTTCCTGTGGTGCCTTTGGCGATCTAGGGTGGAAATAAAGGGGAGACAATAGTGTTAACATTTTTTAAAATTTATTTTTTATGAGAGCTTTTAAAACTATAAAAATAAGACTATCCAGGGGAAAATAATTTAAAAAATATCAAAAAAAAATTTAAAAAGAGAACTCTCCCCCAATTCCACTCCCCATTCTCTAGAACAAACTACTGTTAATATTTTACTATATAGTCTCCCATATCTTTTTGTATGTAAACTATTAAGTTTACTTTAAAAAAAAAATAAAAATGAGCTGAAATCAGTCTGGCTCAGTGGGTAGAGCATGGGCCTGTGGACTGAAAGGTCCCAGGTTCGATTCCAGTCAAGGGCAAGTACCTTGGCTGTGGGCACATCCCTATTGGGGGGTGTGCAAGAGGCAGCTGATTGATGTTTCTCTGGCATTGATGTTTCTAACTCTCTATCCTTTTCTCTTCCTCTCTGTAAAAACTCAATAAAATATATTAAAAAAAAAAAAATGAGCCCTAGCCAATTTGGCTCAATCAGGTAGGAGCGCATGTGGGAGGCAACCAAACTATGTGTCTCTCTCACATTGATGTTTCTTTTTCTCTCTGTCTCTCCCCCTTCCTTCCACACTCTCTATAATTCAATGGAAAAATATCCTTAGGTGAGGATTAACAACAACAACAAGAATAAATAAATCCTTAAAAAACATAAAAATGAGATTATACTATACCAGTATATATTGTTTTGCTTTGTACCTTTAGCAAATATTTTTAAAACTAATCTTTTTTAAAAAAATATATATTTTATTGATTTTGTACAGAGAGGAAGGGAGAGAGACAGAGTTAGAAACATCGATGAGAGAGAGTCATCCATCAGCTGCCTCTTGCACACCCCCTACTGGGGATATGCCCGCAACCAAGGTACATGCCCTTGACCGGAATCGAACCCGGGACCCTTCAGTCCCCAAGCCGACGCTCTATCCATTGGGCCAAACCAGTCTCGGCATATTTTATTATTACAAAATATTATACATATATTAGAAGCCCAGTGAATGAATTCGTGCACCAGTGGGGTCGCTTGGCCTGGCCTGTGAGATCAGGCTGAAACCGCTCTTCAACATCCCTCGAGGGTTCCTGGATTGTGAGAAGGTGCTGGCCAGGCAACTGGTGCATAATTGGGGCCAGAGAGGGATGCAGGAGGTTGGCCAGCTGGGGAGGGATTGCAGGAATGCTCCAGGGTTTGTCCAGCCTATCAAGCTCAGTCCCAATCAGCCAGACCCTAGCAGCAAGCTAGTCTACTGTTAGCATCTTCTCCCTGGTGGTCAGTGCACATCATAGCAACTGGTCAACCAATCTATTGTCTGCCCCCTGGTGGTCAGTCCATGTCATAGCGAGCGATTGAGTGACCTTAGCATATTATTAGCATATTACTTTGATTGGTTGAACGGACGACCGGATGCGTAGCATTTAGGCTTTATTATATAGGCTTATATTATATAGGAGTCCATAAAAACTTATATGTTCAGTTCAATAAATAGTTATAAAGCAGATGTTCATGAAACTATAACCCAGGCCTAGAAATAGAATATTGCCACCATCCCCCTCCTTTTCTGATCACTATTCTCTCTTTCCCCCTGACTTTTATAGTAAGCATTTACTTTTTAAAAATATTTTTATTTATTTCAGAGAGAAAGGGAGAAATAGAGATAAAAACATTAATGATGAGAGGGTCATTGATTGGCTGCCTCCCACCTCCTCTCTCCCCCACTGTGGGTCAAGCCAACAACGGAGGTATGTGCCCTGATCCAGAATCAAAGGGCGACACTCAACCACTGAGCCACACCGGCCTGGCTACTATTTTCTTTATTGTTTTACTCTCTCTCTCTCTCTCTCTCTCTCTCTCTCTCTCTCTCTATATATATATATATATATATATATATATATATATAAAATTTAATTTTGCCTATTTTAAATTATATTTTTAATTGATTTCAGAAAGGAAGGGAGAGGGAGAGATAGAAACATCAATGATGAGAATCATTAATTGGCTGCCTCCTACATGCCCCCCTATTGGGGATTGAGCCGGCAACCCGGGCATGTGCCCTGACTGGGAATCTAACTGTGATCTCCTGGTTTATAGGTCAACAACCTTCAACCACTAAGCCACACTGCTTATGTGACTCTGGTGTCATTTTCAGAAATCAGTGATCAGGTTCCCAATCTCCCTCTACTTTGATCATCTAAGTTTGAAAATCTAAGACTTGGTTAAACCTTTCTAGTATTAGGAGAATTGTATCTTGCTTTTCTTCCTCTTCCTGTTTCTCCACAAGTAGAAAGCGCTGAGATGTTTATCCTGGTCTTCATTTCACCTCTATTGTCTGTTCTCAGCCCCTGCTTCATTCCTAGTTGATTCCACCGAGTGACTCTGGTTTAAGAAGTTTCATTCTTTTGAAACTTACTGTTTTTTTTCACATTGCCCTTCAAATGGTCACAGGGACACTGCTTCTTTGGAAGCCTAGGCACTGCCATGAGTTTTCTTTTAGGAGCTCTCAGGAACCAATCTGAAATAACAAGGTTGCTGCTAAGATGGGAGTAGGGAGTAGGGTAGGACTTTACTCGCCATATTTGCTTTTTTTATACTACAATGGGATGGGGAAAAGGGTCAACATGGAACAGTGGAGATATCCAGTTATAAATGTACTAGTGGCTTGGTGCATGAATTAGTGCATGGTTGGGTCCAGCAGGCCTGCCCTGATTGGGGCTGATTGGGCTGGGCTGATGGGGGGAGAGGAGGTGGGTGTGGGAGGAGGGAATGTGGGAGGTTGGCTGACTGGCCCTGCCCCTGATTTGGGGGGAGGGGTGGTGATTGGTGGCAGGGCCTGCTGGGGCGAGGGGCCTTGGGCAGTTGGCCAGCTGGTCCTGCACAGCCCTCCCACCCCCCAGTTGAGCTCTTGGTCAAACTCCTGGCATGTTAGGCTTTGCATATTAGGCTTTTATTATATAGGATTTCTGAGCATTTTTTTCCTGGTCTGTGTTGGCAAGAATTTAGTGGTAGGTGTGGAGAGGGCAGCAGGATATCATTAGGGAGACTAAAAAAATTAGGAATAAGACATAGGTGTCAGCCTTCCCTTCGGTTTTTGGGCTGACACTACTGAGCAATCGGCTAGGGCAATATCTTCCAGTAGCTGCTTTACCTGGAGCAAGCCATTTTGCCTGATTTTAGTCTTACCTGTAAGTAAAATAAGGTTGAGAATAAGATCCAGGAAGCTTTTGGAAGGTGGCCCTGGGTTCTTAGGGAAAAATAAGGGAGAGTGGGCAGGCAGAGATTTAGACCTTGGAGGAGTCAGCCTTCTTAAGAGACTCCAGAAGAAAACAAGTATTGGCTCTGCATGAGGTGGGCTGGTGGAGAGAGGAATGGGTGAGTCAGCTTAGCTAACTTCTGCATTCGTTTCAGGGATTCAAGGGAGAGGATTGGGGTATCTCGATGGTTTACCACTGTTGAGACTGAGTTACTGACCTTTGCACTCACATTCTTGGCCACCTTCCTGGAGCCACCTCCCAGAAGCCTGGCGTTTGTCCCTGTGTCCTCTGGCGACCCCTGTTGAAAGTAAACAGCTCACTTCCAGAATCTGGAAAGGGCAAGGGCCAACAGAAATGGTCCTCCAGCATTGTGCTATCTGGTTTAGTTCAGTTCCATTTCTTTTCCTTTTTAAACTTAGGGGTCTAGGAGTATTTTAACTCAAGTACTGAAGAGAAGAGTATTTTAAACGGATAAAGAATTGAGGTTGAAAAATCCAACCTAGAGAAAAGTTTAGCTGGAGGTAAGTAGAGAAAGAATGGCTTCTGAATGGAAGAGAGGACAGAGATGAGGCTTAATCAAAACCATCTCCTCTTCCTCTCTCCCCAGCCAAAGACACACTATAAAATCCTCATAACTTAAGGAAGGAGCAGATTATGTTATAAACCAATCAGGATCTTCACCTGACCTCTGTTTGTGGTATTTGAATACCTAATCACAGTCTAACTATAAAAATATGACGTTTAGCCCAGACCGGTTTGGCTCAATGGATAGAGCGTCAGCTTGGGGACTGAAGGGTCCCGGGTTCGATTCCTGTCAAGGGCATGTACCTTGGTTGCGGGCACATCCCCAGTAGGGGATGTGCAAGAGGCAGCTGATCGATGACTCTCTCATCGACGTTTCCAACTCTCTATCTCTCTCCCTTCTTCTCTGTACAAAATCAATAAAATATATTTAAAAAAAAAAAAATATGACGTTTACCTTTGCTTCCCTGGATCAAAAGCCATTCCTCTTTTGGCTTCTATTCAGGTATGTTTTATCACCTGGTGCTTAAAAAAAAAAAAAAAAAAAAAAAAATATATATATATATATATATATATATATATATATATATATATAAATATATTTAAATTGATCTTTTACAGAGAGGAAGAGAGAGGGATAGAGAGTTAGAAACATCAATGAAAGAGAATCATTGATCAGCTGCCTCTTGCACACTCCCTACTGGGGATGTGCCTGCAACCAAGGTACATGCCCTTGACCAGAATTGAACCTGGGACCCTTGAGTCCGCAGGCCGACACTCTATCCACTGAGCCAAACTGGTTTTGGCACCTGGTGCTTTTTTATTCCCATTTTGTGATAAATAAAATATTTTTTATGACAATCAAGGATGATGGTTTATATATAAACTGGAGGTTCTGGAGCTAGAACAAGGCTGGGTAATGATCTTCTGTAGTACTTTTGGCTATTGCTGTCAGAATTAATTATTACTTTACATGGTTACCATCATATTTGAGTGCAGCTCTATTTTTACACAATTATAGTTTTTTTGTTTGAAATCTGTTGTGAATTGAATTGTTTCCCTCTCAAAATTCTTGTTGAAACCCAAACTCTTAGTACCTCAGAATGTCTGTATTTGGAGATAGGGCCATTAAAGAGGGGAGTGAGTTAAAATGAAGTTATTTTTGGTGGGCCCTAATCCAATCTGACTGGGGTCCTTATAAGAAGAGATTTGAACACATAAAGAAACACTATGGATGAATGTGTACAGAGGAATGGCCAAGAAGAGGTCCATTTGCATGCCTAGAAGAGAGGCTTCATAAGAAACCAAAACAACTTCTATCTTCTAGAACTGTGGAAACAGTATTTTGCTACGGTGGCAGCCCTAGCAAACTAAAATCCCCACCTCCCCCCTTCTGAACCAGTAGACTCTGAACCAGTAGCTAAGTAGTCATCCAGTTACATGTTCCTGACACATGGCAGGCACTTGGTAGGTATTTATTCTATAAGTGAGTGGATAGGTTGTATAAAGAGGGCCCTTAGAGACCATCTGGTTCAGTTTAGGTCTCCTGTTTCCCAGACTTGTGCCCTTTCTACCACCAGAAGGAGGGTGTTGCATCATTTCCTCACGTGCTGGTTTTTAAATGTTTTTACATGCTGTTAAAAGTAATTTAAATAGGCATAGCCCCTGCCATGTAAACTTTTCTAACATTTTATTTTTTCCTGACTTCTCCTAGTTCCAGGGAAAAGCCCCAAAATATTAGAGCCAGAGGAAACTTGTTTGGATCTCTTTGTTGAAAGTTTTTTTCTTTTTCTTTCTTCATTATAAATGTAATATAACTACATTAGAGAACATTTTGAAAGTTCAAATAAAGAAATCGTTATTCTGCCATAACCAGGTTGGCTCAGTGGATAAAGCGTCAGCCTGCGGACTGAAAGGTCCCAGGTTCGATTCCGGTCAAGGGCATGTACATTGGTTGCGGGCACATCCCCGGTTGGGGGTATGCAGGAGGTAGCTGGTTGTTGTTTCTCTCTCATTGATGTTTCTGTCTCTCTTCCTCTCTGTAAAAAAATCAATAAAATATATTAAAAAAAAGAAATTGTTATTCTTATCAACTGTTGGTATTTTGGTATTTTTCTTGCTTATGATTTTCTTTATATAATGATAACCATAGTATGTGAACAAATTTCTTTTTGTTTACTTTGTAAGAATGTTGCAATGTCACCTGAGGATATTTTTCATTGATTTTTTTATTTTTAGAGAGAGAGTGGAGGGGAGGAAGAAGTTGGGAGAGAGAGAGAAAGAGAGAGAGAGAGAGAGAGAGAGAGAGAGAGAGAGAGAGAGAGAGAGAGAGAGAGAGAGAGAGAGGCCAGTGTGAGAGAGACACATCAATTGGTTGCCTCACTCATGTACCTTGACTGGGGATGGGGATCACACCTGAAACCCAGATTTGTGCCCTTTACCAGGAATCACACCCACAACCCTTTGGTTTTTGGGCCGACACTCTAACTACTGAACAACCGGCTAGGACGGCATCTTAACACTCCCAACAAGTATATGAGCTCCAACTTATTTAACTGTTCTTCCATTGCTGAATTTTTAGGTTGCTTTATTTTTGGATTTTGATAAATTTGTGCGCTTGTAACTGTTTTTCAAATTTTATGTTATTGTTTTGGGCAAAATTTCCTAAAATGGAATTTCTGGGACAAAAGTAAAGAATAGATCTATGTTTCTTGATATCATCACTAAATTGCTTTTATTTTTTGTTATTTAAAAAAATGATTTTAAGATTGAGGAGAGAGAGAAAAATTGACCTATTGTTTCACTTATTTATTTCACTTATTTATGCATTTATTGGTTGACTAGTGGCCCGGTGCACAAAATTTGTGCATGGTGAGGGAGTGGGGGGTGTCCCGCAGCCTCTTGCAATCCAAGACTCCTCAGATAGGGTCCCTAGGCTTGGCTGGTGATCAGGGCCTAGCGGGCTTTCCTTCCCCTGGCCACCCCTTCCACTGCCACTGCTTGCCATCTGTGCAGCACTGTCTCCCTCTCCTCCACCACCAGTCGCCTCCCTCTGCGGGTAAAAGGAATGGGGTGGGATCACTTGGCCTCCCACATAGGGTGATGGTGAGGCCTCCGACCAATCACATTACACTCACCTTGGCTGTCCTGACCTGGCTTGGCTGGCTGGTCATTCTGCTGTTAGGTTGCATTTTATGCTTTTATTATTATATATCATTATTAATCTTTAAAGTCCTCAACCTAGGATATTTTTCTATTGATTTTGAAAGAGAGTGAATCCCTGACTGGTTTGGCTCAGTTGATGTCAGCCTGCAGACTGAAGGGTCCCGGTTTGATTCTGGAAAAGGACATTAATGGGATGTTTAGAAATTTTTAAATATTTGTACATTAGTTAATAGTATCATGCCAACATACTATGGTTATGTAAGATGCTATTTGAAAAAAACCTGGATGGATATACTCTCATTATTTTACAACATTTTTGAAAGTCTGAAAAGTGAAAATTTAAGATTTTAAAAAATAGGTTATGCCTGGCATATAGGAGTGCTTAACACATGTCAGCTAATATAAGTAATTTTATAATTAACTAGAGGCCCAGTGCATGAAATTTGTGCATGGGAGGGAGGGGGGCATCCCTCAGCCCAATCTGCACCTTCTTGCAATCCAGGATCTCTCAGGAGATATTTGACTGCTGATGGATCGGGCCTAAACTGGCAGTCAGACATCCCTCTTGCAATTCTGGACTGCTGGCTTCTAACTGCTCACCTGACTGCCTGCCTGATCTCCCCTAACCACTTGCCTGCCTGCCTGATTGTCCCTAACTGCCTCTGCCTCAGCCCTCGCTGCTGTGGCTTCATCAGAGGATGTCCCGAATGATGACTGGAAGGTCTTTCGTCTATCCAGTCTAATTAGCATTTTTTATTATTATAGATAAGTACTTTTATTATTATAGATAAGTACTTTTATAAGTAATGAGTAAACTGTTATAATAAGTAATTTATTTCCTAACATTCTCTATATTCTCACTTATCTTACCCCCTCCTATGAAAAGCATATTTTGCATGTGTTGGTTATTGTAAGAGAGAAAGTAAGAAACTTTATTTTGAGAATTTTTTTAGGACGGGGATGGTGGAGCATCATTTTCTCTAGCCAGGGAAAGCCTGGTCTGGCAATACTATGCTTGGCTGGGAAACAAACTTTGAGCTTGGTCTCCACTGATCTAATAAGGTTTGTAGTAGCGTCACCTGTCAGCACAGTGCGCTTTCCTGATTCATTGCCCTTGTGTTTCAGGAGCTACTTTACAAATTAAACAAACAAATGTTTTTATTGATTTTAGAGAGAGGAAGGGAGAAGGATAGAGAGATAGAAATATTGATGAGAGAAAGACATCGATTGGCTACCTCCTGAATGCCTCCCCTACTGGGAATCAAGTCCACAACTTTGGCATGTGCCCTGACCAGGAATCTGACCAGGAATCTAAACGGGGACCTCTTGGTTCACGGGTTGACACTCAACCACTGAGTCACACTGACTGGGCTAGAAATTTTATGCAATACATTTATTCACTTTTTTCTAGATACACATTATAGATTATTTAATCTTCACAAAAATTCTATGTGCTAACTGGCATTTTTATTAATTTTAATATAATAACACTAAAACTGAAGAGAGTGAAGCAACTTGTCCAGAGTTGCAAAGTAAGTGGAAGAGCCAGGATTTGGACCTAGATTCCCCTGGCTTCAAGGAAGAAGGTGTAGGTAAGTCTAAACGTGGAGC